ATATTAACTATTTAAATTAATTAAGTATTTTTATTTTTTAATTTTATACCGAATAATATTAGTTTTATCAAATTCATTTCGTTTAATTAATTTAATTTAATTCTTACCCAAGTAATATGTTTCATATACACTACATTACGACAAAAGAGCATTGGCTCTCCAGCTGCTTAAGTCGGTAAACCTTAGTAGATTTACAATGGATAAAAATATCGAACAAAAAATTTGTCCCAAATTGTATTTGTAGCCAAAACTTTTGTGCAGAATTAGTATTAAATTATGAGGTGCGCAACTAAGCTTCCGTTTTTTTGTCAATACATGGTTTCAGCAGATAGCGATAATTAAGAAAAATTGATACAAAATTTAAAAATTAATTATTGCAATATAATAGATAATTAAAAAAAATTAATTAATTTAACTTAGTTTTTATATTTATTTAAAATTAAATTAAATCTGTCTCTTATACACATCTAGATGTGTATAAGTGAACTAATTAAAATAAAGCACAAAATTTATTAAATTTAAATTTGTTAATTTATATTGAATTTTAAAATTTAATTTTACTTTCAATAATATTGAAATTAGTTGAATTATTCTATTTTATTCCAATTGTTACATGTTTTTTGTTTTGTTTGTTAAGTTACTTTACTTTTTTTATGTTGCGTAATTTTAATGTTTTGAATTACTTTAACTTAATTACCTAATTAAACCTAATTTAAATAATTAATTAAATTGATTTCACGTAATTTAACTATATAATTAGTTTTAATTGTATGTATTAGTTAAAGTAATTTATTTCAAATAATTAAAAATGTAATTTAATTACCACAAATTAATTTCAACTTAGGTATTTTAATTCTATGATGAGTTAAATCAACTAGTCAGTTATTTAATTTGTTAATTTAATTTACTTCAAATGATGAAATAAATAAATTTAAATGAACAAGTAAATCAATTGATTTTTATGAATATTATCTTAAAATATTTTATTATTTTCAAATTTAATTACTATTA